TCGAATGCCAAACTGTTTAATGGAAATCAGATACCTTACTGATGCATGCCAGAAGAGAGATGGGCCGGTAATTGTCTGGATTTGCTTTTTACTTCTTATGGACAGGAATCACTTTTTTCCGTCTAGTTGGTAGGCCAGCAGCTTCCTTCGCTACAGGACTGGAAGATGGATGGTGACGATATCAACTGAACTAGGTGCTTTATGTTTAAATTCTGAAACATCTCTTTTGTTCTACTGTAAGAATCGAAGCTTTCCAGGCCAGCTTTTTTCCCATTACTTGAAGCAGTAGCTCCATCTGGCATGTTGAGTGAAGGTATTGTGGATTCCCGAGTGTTCCACTAGCGCTCCTTGACGAGTGACCACTAATTCTGCTCTCAGACAGTTTCCTCTTTGTCTCCATTTGCCATCTGTTGCGGGCCATCTGACTGTATTTTCTTTGCAAGTATTTTGTAGTTTTATTGTCTTGTGGGATTGCCTTTGTACCTTTGCCACAATCTGTAATTTCCTTTTGGAGGCTAGATAACATCTGTAGTCAAACCAGGCTTGATCCCCTGATTTGGTAAGGTATATCCTGCATTTCTGTGAGGAGGCTAGTACTGGAGGTTGTTTTGCCATTGGCATCCCCCATCAGAACATCCCAGTCTTGTGACTGTAGTTCTGCCTTCTTACCGCACCAGTTTACGTGGTTCCAAATCTATATTTTTCTTTGTCTGCTTTCGTTAGCTGCAGGAGTGAGGCGAAGCTGTAAGATAATTGCAAGGTGATCTGATGTACCTATTTTGCCCAGTGATGAGTAAGAGATAAAGTCCTCACTTAGATCCGATATACAGGGTCGAGAGATCTACCGAGGATGTGTTTGGAAATCTATGTAGTCAGTCCATGAACTGCGAGAAGGTCCTCGTATGCTTGAAGAAGATGGTCCAACAGTGTCCTGCCTTAACTGTAGTGAGTGCAGAATAACAGGGATTTAACTTTAGAATGACCTTCAAAAAGCCGATTGTTAGCAGTCGAAATTCCAGATTCTCTTTATAGCACACAGATTCACCTCCGACGTTCTTTCCTGTCTCTTCTTTGCCACTGTGAGCAGCCTCGTTTCTTGACAAAAACAGTTTCTTCCTCTGCATTAAGGAAGGTTTCAGTAGCCACTATTATGTCTGCATTTCTCCATCTCTCTCTCCCTGCCTCACTCTCGCTGTCTCTCATTCAGTGTGTGTATGTCTGTGTGTAATAAAGAGATTACACCAGATCTAACGAAAGGAACGTACCCTAGTTAAAAAAAAAAAAAAAAACTGTATTTTTACCCATTGTCTTACCTGAGTTTTTTTTTCATCCATCCTTTTACTAATTTTCTTTTCTATCCTTTATCATATAAAGAGGAAAGGATTGTGGAAGACGGAGTAATAAGGATTAACTCCAACATCACTTTCCTGCGACCAGAAGTTATGGACGACCGTGTTATGTGTGTTGCGACCACTCTCGCCGGGCATGTCAAAAATACTCAAACACGCGTAATAGTGAAGGGTAAGGAAAAGGGCAGTTTTGTGAGAGAGCTTGCAGGCAGAGTAAGTATGATTTTTAGATAAGGATGGGGGTGTAGATGATAATGATGATGGTGATAAAGACGATGATGGTTGTGGTGGTGGGCGATAGCAGCAAATTTGATTAATCGCTATTACAGGCTTTAGAAAAAGTAATCGTTTAACCTTTTCACTGACATCATTATTTCTTTGAGGATGAGTGGGATGGGCTGAGTAGCAATGGGGTGGAAGGATGACACCATGGCAGGGTGATGGTATAAATGACTAGCAGAGTGACGTTGCGGTAGAGGAATGTTAGAATGGCAGTGGTACAAGAATGGCAGGGTGACGGTATGAACGACTAGCAGAGTGACGTTGTGGTTTAGAAGGGAGTGGCAGAGTGACCAAGTTGTAGAGAGTCGGTGAGTAGTGTGGTTGAAAGATGCCAGGGTGATTTGGGGATAGAGAGATAGCAGAGTGATATTGTGGTAGAGGGAAGATAGGATGACGATGTGGTAGAGGGTTGTAGAGTGATGTTGTGGCAGGGAGACTGTGTGGTAGAGAAGCATGGTGAAGTGGTGGTGTGGAAGAATATTGGCGTGGTAGAGGGGTGGCTTGCTGATGTGGTAGAAGGATGGAATGATGGTGTCGGAAAAATAGCTCTGTGGCGATGTGATGGATGGAGAAGAGAGTGAATGTGTCCTGGAGGAATGGTAGAGTGATGATGTGATTTGTACTATGTATGGATGTATGTGTGTATGGATGAATTGATGAATAAATGTATGTATGTAAGTTTGCATGTGGAATTCATTTCGAACAAATTGCAAGAGAAGTATACATACATGTATTTGGTGATACCTGATCACCAACGTGACCTAATCGCCAAGTACATGTGTATATATACTACTATGTATCTCTTGTTCTGTATGCCCTGATGTAGCAGTAAATGCGAAAAGGCCTTCGGCATATTCGTGTGTTGTCCT